TTAAACAAGAGACACCACTGATTACCCTCCCCACGGACCTTCTTCCATCATGAAAGCCATCCTCGGAGAAGAGGTTACGGGGGAGGGGTCGCGGGGGAGGGGTCGCGGGGAGGGGGTCGCGGGGGGAGGGGGTCGCGTGGAGGGATCGCGGGGGAGGAGTGGCGGGGGAAGGGGTCGCGGGGGAGGAGTGGAGGGGAAGGGATTGCGGGGGTCGCGGGTCGCGGGGAGGGGTCGCGGAAAGGGAGTCGCGGGGGGAGGGGGTCGCGGGCTCGACTGGTTTGATCTTGAACAGGCGGTCTTCTCTCGCGTGGAGGCTTCCGCTCTCTGGCGTGTTCGTGCGCATGCGCGCGTGTCGTCTGCTCTCAATGTAACCATGACGCATGCGCATAGCAGCGACAGCTGATTGTCATATGGTTACCATCCCGACTCACGCGCGTCAGTGTAAAGCGCCTAAGCTAAAGTAAGGTAGCTAAGTCTAAGTGTAAAGTAGAGCGCGGGCGGCAGCGCCGTGTCAGGGGCAGTACACGGCATGAGCGACGCGAGCCTTGTTAGTGCGTAGTTCACACCGCGCGCGCGCTCACTCACAGCTGCCCACTGCAACCCAACCTCGACCGCTGCTCGCATGTCCCGCGCTATCTCGTGCCACCCCGCAGCAGCAGCAGCCGCAGCAGCCGCAGCAGCAGCAGCAGCAGCAGCCCATCCGTTGCAGCTGCGCACAGATGGAAGCTGGAAGCTGCCGTGAAGCCGGTCGACTTGTGTGAATCTCCGCTGTGTCGTGCTGTGCGGTGAGAAGTACGTGCGTGCCTATAGGCATACGTACATACGTACATACGTACATACGTACATACGTGCATACGTACATACGCGTGAGTGCTTGGCGTAAATGTATGAGCTGTGATAATAAGTGGATATATTACACCTGGTAGTTCTTATCTTACGGGCGCACTCTTGTAGCGCCCCGGCCTGGCTTGAACCTCATGGTATAAGCCCATCGGAGACGACAGGCTATCATACAAAAATAGGTTTCAACAGTTGACTGTTACTGCAAAAGTGCGATGAAGACTGCCTAGTTCTGTATCCGTATCTGTGTCGGTGTATGGAGAGTAGCTCACTACTGAGCAAAAGTTGTACAGACGGTCTGTGCACATCGATGTTATTTATCGCGGAGTGAAGTGCTTTTATATATGATACCGTGCATTTCAATATAGTTTAGTATAATTTGAGGGGATTTGTGTAATTCGGTGTAATTTTGTGTGATTCGATGTGGTTTGTGTGATTTTGTGTGATTCGGTGAGATTTTGTGTGGTCCGGCGCGATTGTCTGTGATTTTGTGTGGTCCGGCGCGATTGTCTGTGATTTTGTGTGATTCGGTAGAATTTTGTGCTATTCGGTGTGACTGTGTGTAGGTTGGTGTGATTTTATCTGATTTTGTGTCATTTTGTGTGATTCGGTCGGATTTCGCTTGATTTTGCTTGATTTTGTGAGATACAGTAGGGTTAATTTTCTGTGGCTGTGCGGCGTTACGGTACCAGCTCTAATATAACGTTTCTTGCCCTGCTGATGTTTATCGCTACTGACTAACTACGCCTACAGGCAAATAGCTGAAGCTAAAAGTGGCGGGATTCTGTTACATTTCTATTCGTGATTTTCATTCTTTTTGCGCTTTCATCTTTGCCAGGTATTTATTGCCTTCGATTATTGCGCCTTAATCATTTCCTGACTTCCCCGCATTCATTAGCGTTAGATAATTATTGTGGCCCGAATAGTGTAGTTCATCAGTGAATATACAAATATATATATATATATATATAATCTATGTATATATGTATTATACTATGTATTATACGTAGCACTTTACAATAGCTAGATAACGTATCTAGGAGTGGTCTGATCAGTAAATGACTGTTATGCTGTTTCGCCATGCTCTCACTCCTAACGCATATTATAATGTAATGAATGTATTACGCAATATTGGGATATAACGTGAATTCTTTGGATCGTGGAGTTTGTATCGTGAGGTTTGGATCGTGGAGAGGTGCATGACGATGAGGGGAGATGAAGGGGATGATGATGATGATGATGTTGTTGTTGTTGATGATAATGTTGTTGTTGTTGATTATGATGATGATAATGATGACGAGGAGGAGAAGAAGAAGAAGGGGAGGCGTACGGTTCGGAGTAGTGTGGATTCGGTGCACTGATGTCCGATGTATGTCTGTGTGCAGGTCCGTGAGGCGGATAGGGCGATTTACAGCCGGTCCTGCAGACATCTAGTCGGAGACAGCATGCCGCTACCATTAGCTTGGCTTCTTGCTGCTACCATCTTCACGCAGGGTTAGATTTGTTGTTCTTCTTTCTTCTCGTTATCCTCTTCCTCCTCTTCTTTCTCCTCCTCCTCCTCCTCCTCCTTCTCTTTTTATTATCTTCTTCTTTTTCGTCTTTTTCTTCTTCTTCTTCTTCTTCTTCTTCCTCCTCTTAATCTTTTTCCACTTGTTTTACTACCTCTTTCTCATTTTTCTGTTTTTTAGCGGCGGTGGGTTTCTTAGGTAACGACCTAAGAGGCGTGCAGTATATATCGTACGCTGGGGGCGGTGCACCCGAATTTATCTGCCAAGTGTCTTAATTTACTTGCGTCCCTGTAATGTTTAATCGACAGCTGCGCATCTTTCCCGTGTGTTTTTTTTCTGGGAGATAAATAAATACGTCGAACTAGTGTGAAACGAGAGAATGTAGGTTGGCTTATGTCCCATATTAAAATCTCCCTCGATTGAATTTCGAGGAAACTAAACCTAAAGAAATAATATAAAAAATCGCAACGTATAAAAGCTTTTAATATAACTTGCCGAGAGACGGCGTACGCACTTATGCCATGCATGAGAGATCGCTCATATACTTTTTCTCTATAGTTGTTAAAACAGACCAGAGCGACGGAGACCTCGTGAGCGTAGCTAAGATAGGCGACGGAGTAACGTTCATCTGTGCTCCCCCGCGTGGGAACGTGACAGGATGGGCGAGGATGCGAGACGACGCCGACGTCTATATTGCCACTGCTGATGAGAAGTATGATACGGTTAACCACTCGACGGTGCTCACTATCGTTAGTGTGCAGCCCACAGACGCTGGCCGCTACGCGTGTCATCTGGACGACGGATCTAAGATGTTATACCAACTACAGAGTAAGTAGGTTACATCGTGCTGACAGCTGATGCAGAGAGATGTGTGTGTGTGTGTGTGCGTGCGTGCGTGCGTGCGTGCGTGTGTGCGTGCGCGCGCGCGCGCGTGTGTGTGTGTGCGTGTGTGTGTGTGTGCGCGCGCGCGTATTGTGTGTGTGTGTCTGCGTGTGTGCGTGCGTGCGTGCGTGCGTGCGTGAGTGTGTAGTAGAGAGAGAGTAGAGAG